TCAAATCCATAATCAAACTATTATAATGCTTCTTCAAATCGATTTAACTAATTTAATATCTTAGCTTTATTTTATTATCATTTACGCTTTACCTTTGAAAAAAAACAATTTATTATTTTCAGGATTCATTTATATTGCATAATCAATACAATATAAAGCTTCCCCAAATTGATTTTAGATAAGGAATATAAGGGAATTTATCAATATTAGTTTAATTCTTCCATTTTTTACTATATCTTATTACAATAGTATTTAGTTATCCTATTCTCTATTCAATGTTAAAATTTTTTACTATTTTCTATTAACTTATATTAATATGGTATTTTTTTTAGCAAGGGCTATATTGTTTTTCCTTTAGAATTTAAATGCAATTTGCTTATTATTTTTTGATGAATATTTTACTAACGATATTATTTATTAATTTCTATTTTAAATAAATTACTTGATTAATTTCCAGTTCTATCCAACATTTTATTGTAATTGAAACAATTTATATCCTTATAGAATGTAATTTAATTATCTAATCATTCTTTTTATTAAAAATATATTTTTACTTCTCTTCTTTTTCAATTTTACAAATGATTCTTTAACTTTTTGGCATGTTTTGATCTAGTATTGCATCTAAGATAGATATCGAATGCTAAGACTCTTCTATTACTTATTAAAACATAAATAATTAATTAAAAAAAAACAATAAATTTTGCTTTAAGATGTAATTTTGGGAAACCCTCCTTGGATTAGGTTTAGGTAAAAAACATTTTCTTTCTAAAAGGGTGTTGAATTTATTCATTTGCGATACAATCAAAAGGATGCCTTTAAATATAATCATTTAATAGTATGATGTAGTGAATATAAATTGATTGAAAAATTATAGAAGAGAGTTAATAAATGGGTTATGGTCTGTAGGTAAATCCAGTATGTAAGAATATGAAATTACTGGTCAATCACCACCTATGTAAAATTATAATGGCAGAATAAAAAAACCTCATAAAAAGATTAAGATTGATCATCTATAGAGTTGATAATCATTTAAGTTAGATCTCATTTAAGAGTTATGACTTGATTATTTGAAGAAGATAAACTTGTTTTAGATGCATATGTTGCATTTAATATATCTATTGTACAATATTTTAGATTTTAAGAATAGATAAATATTGATACTACAAAAGTTTAGGAAATGGAGGAAGTGAAAATGTTTAAAGCACTTTTGAGGAGGATGGCAAAAAAGCCTTGTCAATTAAAAAGTTTCAGAAATATTATGATACCTCCAATAAATGATACAAATTTTTCAATCTATATTACAAGTGTTTTCACTTGATAATTACGTTGTGTCTAACTATTATTAGTTACCTGTTATTAGAGGATCAGTTCCAACAGCTGTTATAGTGGATTTTAAAAAGCAAGATGATTGGAATTATCCTAGAGATCAAATCACCAATAATGAAATATTTTATATCAATAATATGTCAATAATTGTAAGTTTGAAGAGATGTAATAACTAAAATTTAAAATATCTACCTTTTGAATAAAGTTTCTAATAGTGGTCTTACAATAGTTGTCTTTAATTAATTGAGTATGAAGACAATTAAATCTTTAATTCAATTCAAAGACCACCCAACTGTATTTAACAACAAAATAAAGAATACTTTACAAATTTATATTATATGATTTAACTCAATATCTTGAAAGTTGATACATAAATTTATCAAACTTTTAAAAAAGTAATTAGGATTGGGCTGAATATCATATTATGTAAATCAATTTCTTAATACTTTAAATGCCTAATTTTGTTAACAAACAATGAATTCTGACAAAAAAGATTTTTATTTTAAAAATAATAATAAAATATTAAAATTACTATAACATATTCAAATGAATAGGTTTACATCATAAATAGATTAATTCAATTTATAATATAAACTATTTTATTTTCTAAAGTAAATTCTTTTAATTCTTTATATTTTTTATTGATTCATAAATGAATTCAAAATTTTCTCTCAAATAAACAGCTGCAGAGTAAATTAGTTCCGCTTTGATTGACGAACCTTATTTTGTTACCTATTTGTAATCCTTTCTATTTTATTCATTTTGCTGAATTTATAAATACTTATTATTATAATTTGATTGATAACTATAAATATTTAATATCTTTATTCCACTAAAGATAAATTCAACTCTCTGGGCTTTTATTAGAAATAAGAATATTTTAATTTAATTCTCTTGTATTTCTTTCTAGATGATAAACAAAATAGGAGAATTAGACTTTGTTGTGGTTAATTCATTTCTGTTAAT